TAATGCTGATGAATGATGAAGACGCTGACTGTGAAACAAGGCAGAAAATGGATTATGCTCTTGAAGTCACTCGTGTCATGGCCTACGCTTACTTTTGTATCAGTCCCGTCTTTTACACATTTGTTGGGAAAAAGTTTCAGAAGTATTTCCGACAGTTGCTGGTAAAAACTTTCCCACGGTTCAAGAGGGATGTTTTTGTGTGTCTGCAGAATAGGAGCAAGATGTCTACACAGAGCACTCAAAATTAGCTCTAGGCATCGGAAGCCTTTTGTTCTTAAGGACCTCTATGTGGCCAATATTAGGAATTTAAGCAAAAGAGCAAAGTCAGAAATTATAATATCTGATCATAACTATTGTTAGAATTATAGTTTGTGTTCTTAGATATTATATTAGTATGTTATAAATAACTAATATGAACACATTTTATAAGGCCTTTAATTACTTTACACATGAAATCCAGCCATAATGTAATGTTCAGCCTGCTAGAAGGACGCTTAAACTTTCCGCTATGGATTTCTGCCATATTTTCTTCCAATGAAGGGTTTTAGCAAAATAACGGATGAAGGAAAGCCCTGACAGGCAATTGTTCTGATTTCTCATCATAAAATGTTATGAACTGTGATGATTTAAGATATCTTATGTAGAGTGTATTAGCTATTGGATGAGGATTATATTATGTTATGTTTACATGTAGAAGCCGTAGGCCAAAGGTTTATTCATTGAATGTGTTGAAATGTAGAAATAACAAGGGACAGTTCGGAGAGGGGGATTTCTGGTTCGGTTCCAGATTGGGTGGAGAGAAAAGTCACAAAAACATTGTGGGAGGAGCTACGTTTGAATGTGCAGCCAATCACATCCGGCTGTGAAATGATGGACCCACCACTAGAGATTTGTTTACGTTGCAACACTTATTACGTTGCTTACGTTGTAGAAGATCATGTCATGATGTCTGTACATGCTACCCATAACCAACCTCAAAGTGTACGCCCCTGCAGCATCTTGTGTTGGCACCGACTGCTAAATGGACTGTACTTGTATAGCACTTCAAGTCTTCTGACTACTCAAAGCGCTTTAACACTACATGATATCATTCACCCATTCACATCCATTCATACACTGATGACAGAAGAACCATACACAGTGACATCTGCCCATCAGTAACTACCTTTCACACACTGTAGTCACACACCTGTCTCAAGAGTAAAGGAGGAATCATTGTTGTGCCATTGCCAAGCGGTATTTAATGTGCGCTGCCTCATATGTGAAAATACATTGCAGCTACATCGGGTACAGAGGGACTACATGGACAACTTTAAATGATCAGATCAAGCCGATTGTGTATATCCTGAAGGTTCCATTTACAATGGAGCTTATCAGGACCGAAAGTAAACTCCTTTAGCTGTACTAAATGTGCTTATGTGACGCTTTATCGTTCTTTTGACCTGGAACCTACACATGTCTGCTTGTCACTATAATTGCTCTGATTATTTCATTTGAATGCAAATATTTTCCTGTATATTAATACGTTGAGAATCAATCATGTCCTTTGTTAAACAGTTTTTGAATTTTGTAAAAACTTTGATTCATGTCTATTCAATTGTTGGCTTACAGTATGAGGCAGATTTTTAGATGGAAAAGGAGTCAAACTGTGTTGGTTGGTTTTTCTTTGAGTTGGCTCCCGCATTAAGCGGAGCAAATCCGTGGTGTTTGATTGAATTAAACCTTCGAAATAATAGACTAGATGTTTCTGTTTTTAGCATAACGTCAACTTCTTTGTTGAGGACACACATTTTAGAAAACACAATGACTAAAGGGCTGTAGTAGAAAGTCATTTTCATGTTTCATGGTCATGGTAAAAAGAGGAAGTTGCAGTTCTTATCTGCACAGTTTACCACATGAAAGTGAGAATTGTTCTCGAGTCATTGACATTGCTTCATCTATTTTCAACATACAACCTACAACACTATTTTTAGTTGTAATTCTAAAGAATTTGTTCATCCATTTCAAAAGTACATTGTAGTTTTAAGATTTCAAAGGTTTAGTTTATCATTTCACCATTGATGGTTTAAACGCCATAATTGTATAGTGATTGTGTTATGTCTCTGGCACATCCGCTGTCAGATGAACCCTGCTTCACGCCTAATTCGTCCTTCTCTGTCAATGCTATATATTATTATATTGTACCCTGTGATAAATGATATCCCACACTTAAATTCCTGCTGTTATTTCCACAGAAAGAACAAATCAAGCTGTCATAATAGTCTTCCATATTGTCTTCCCTCAATTTTCTTTCAGTTTGTTCTGTTGAGGTCAGGTAAAATTCAGTCTGACAGATTATATATAAAAATGACATATATATATAATCCCAGTAATTATGTTGAGAATTGCAGGTTTGCGACTGAGTGCATCCTGCATAAGAACAACAAGCTACCAGCTCACTGTTCATATCAAAACACATGCAAAAGTGCAACCACAAAAATGTATTGCAAGTAAGACGTTTGGGAAATGTGTCAAAAGGGGTTTTTCAAAATAAAATATTTTCAGGGGGAAAAAAAGGAAAAATTTCTTACATTCTGACTATTTCATAACAACTTGGGACTAACTCATTTATGGCTGAAAGAAAAATACTTTGATAGGCACAGTGTGGGAAAGGAAGTAAAGAATTACACTTACTTAGACTTACTAAGACAAGGTAAGTGCACTATAGCAAGATGATGACCAGCATGGATATGATTTGTTTGGGGGATCTGGCCAGGTACATTCTTATAGAGTCACTTTTAGAATGTTTCTACGTCCCTCTTTCACATAGTTGTGCTGTTAAATAACTAGTAAGCCCCGCAGCAACACGTGTACGGTGTCAGGTTGTTAGAGAATAAGAGAACCAGCAATTACCTAACGCTAAGGAAAGGAGCTTCGATGCCTCCTTGCTTAGCTTCTTTGACACAGGAACCACTGGACCATCCTTTGCCAAAGGAAAGGAGATAATTCTGTACCACAAATTCCCACAAAGGCGGGAATTTTTAAGCAGTGACGTACCAATTGGCCGTTGACGAGGAACAACGATCACGACCGAGAAACGCAGATCATGTGAGCAACCGTTAGCATCGCTCATTCATGTTGCAGCCTCGTTAATAAGGTTTTACTTTGAACCACCTGCATGACTCAGCACTGAAACAACATATGAAGGCATCTTAAGATGCCTCTTCGTAGCCGCTGCAGACTAACGTCACTGACATGCGTCTCCCGTCGAGTAGGATTCCCTAAACACTGCCGCTGTCTTTTCCTAAGTCCTCATGAATTCTCCGTCTGTTCTTCACCCAGAAACGTTTTTCCACAGAAGTTAAGGAATAGCAGTTAGCAGGTCCTTTTTGTTTGTTGTTTTTTATAATCTTATGCCACAGCACAGGGGCCCCCGTGGTGTCCATGGCCCTCGTCCAATCAGACCTCAGTGCAGAGTTTCAACAAAAGAATTACGGCTAAATGGGACGTTTGGGTTTGGGTGGAATTTTCAGCCAAATTTGGTTCTGAACCAGTAGACCCAACTCTCTCTGTTTCAACACATTCTTTTTCAAATAGACGTTAGTCTTCAACCGTAACAGTTAAGTTCATGGAACCAAACCTTCTCAGTGAAGTTCCACACTGACCAAAAACAAGAGACAGTTTCACAGATGACGTGATGATGCTTTTGATCAAGAGTATATTTGCTGTATGTAAACTTTATGCTCTCAAATAGTTCCTCTGAGAGATTTTAAGCACGTTGGTGCATCTCAGGTCGGACGGTACATAACAAGTCAACGGATCAGGAAGACAAATTACTGGCTAAACACAAATCAGTATACTGCATTAATTATTATTATTATACTGCATTATTGCAGCTGGGCAGCTGTTACATTTACTTTGAATTGTTTTAAGCAATGTTCTACTTTTTAATGGGTTTGATTGAATTATTTTAAGCTCTACATGTAATATTGTGTTTGCAATAGCACTTTACAAATATAACATTATATAGGAGAAACATGACCAAATCACTTATGTTGACAGTCTCTTGGATAAATGAATACAAAAAATAAATAATGAAATGTCACCATTTAACATATTATGGTTGACTACTTTTATTTACTAAAAACCTCTATATTGTAACAAACTAATGAGCTGTTTTCACTGCAAAGATTAATTCAGATTAATGACAGACCAGCTTGTTTCAATGCTCTAGCTTTTTATTAATGCATAAAGAAAGAAAGAATATGTGTAGAATATATGTAAGGTTGTGCTAGAAGCATTTTTTCCCTCAACCACTCTTACTGAGGCTCAAGGCCTCAAACACCGTCCAGCTCGTGTCAGTCGTCGTATCGTTCCTTATATAGCGTTACAGCGACAGAAAAGAAAAGTATAGATGTGAAATACAATCAGATGTGTTTGAAAGCTTGCACCCCCTTTTTCCTAATCAAGGGGCACCTGAGGCTTCACTGCCAGTGAAAGGATCAGGTTCACTGGGCACAAATAGATGGAAGTTTAGTCCAGCACTGCACGTCATCCCAGGCCTTCGCATCTGCCAGTACACAAACAAGAAGGGGAGTTAGTGAATTGAACACAAAATCAAACTTGTCAAAACGACTAAACAGCACCAACACCAGTATAAAGTGGATGTAATGCCTCAACACCTACAAGAAACACTGTGTTCTTTTACCTCCAAAATTCATTTGAATGCAATGCTGCTGACCCCACAAGTTGTTAGGCTCTCCATTGGCCCAATTCGTGTAGTCAAATCTTGTCCCATCACTCCAGAACCATTGATTCTCCTGGAGGAAAACATTTGAGTTAGTATGAAATAATATATAATACAAGGTGATTAAAGAAAAAAAATGTAGATATGAGTAGATGTTGCATGAATAAAAGGAATTCAAATGTAAAACAGAATGAGTGCAATATTTGTAAGTAATGGTGAATAAAATACCTCTTGTGCATCAGAGCCTCCAATCCATGTAGTCGGATGATGGAAACTGGAGCTTATGATGGCTTTCTGAATATCATGGTACTCCAGGACGCTGTGAACAGATGCAAGGTGTCCACCCAGAGAAAGACAGTTTTTCTACAGAGAGGAGACAGACCGATGTATTGGGGAGGGTTTGAACCAATTTACTCTTGAATTTAAAATCAGTGATACATTATGAATAGTGATGGGCAAAGATAAAAAAAAATGTAAATGTGATTAACAGCGATTAATCGCAATAATGCGCAAAATCCAATAATACATTATAAATGTGTATTGCACGGTTTTATTTTAAAGTAACGTTATCAGAACAATATAAGAGCCACTCTCGGAGATCCTTTTCTTTCTGAACAGGTACCAGAAGAAAAATTATTCTTTTATCAAGGATCAACATAATGCAGGATATGTTCAGTAGTACGAGTCCCTGTTAGTGAGGTAAAGTGCTCTAGCATAAAAATGACATTTTAATCAAATAAAAAATCAACTTGTTTGATGCTGGTTGAGCAGTTACACAATGAGGCAATTGACTTTTAATGTCCTCTTTTTTATCCGTTCCTCCGACTTTACATTTTCTTACTCCTCTGCACCGAGCCAGCTGCTAAGACACACAAGGACACTTTATTCTTCTTGTGTTGGTTTAAAAATTGTGTTAACCCATGATAAAATCGTTGTCAGCGTTAATGGATTGCTTCGTTAACTCATTTATAATGTGTTAACGCGCCCAACCCTTATTTTGAGATGAGTTTATTCATTTTTCCACATCTCAAGGTAGTTGGTTTCCAAAATTTCATTAGAATTTCTGTCATATTTAGTGTTAAAAGACTAACTAGATATGTAAACAGAGAGAGTCTGAGTACAGCGTATACATATATTTTGGTAGACTTCCATTTCTGTTCATATAAAAGGGCAGACTTTACCGAAGTTAAGTAGCAGTAAAGATTCTGAGAGCGATCCAAGTTAGTGTGCTGCAACTTCATGTCTGTTTTTAATATTTACAAAAAACTACAGTCAACTGCAAACATTTTATCAAAGTCACCAGCATTACCTCAGCTTTAGCCCAAGTCATCGCTCTTGGAATGAAGAGGAAACAGCGACCGTTATAGCCAGTCCAACCGTGGGAACACAAAGACCGCTTGACCAGATGTCGCTCTGCAGAGAGAAATAAAGTTTAATGTGGAGTTTTCTGTATAACTTTTATATTACTGTATTAAACTGATTTTGATGGTGGGTAAATGTCATTACGCAATGCAAAACAAAGGATTATGTCCCTACACAACAGTGAATCCAAATATCTCAGTGAAAGCTACTCACCATTGGGTTCTTCTCCAGACATTTCCTCTGGGAGAGCTGTGAAGTTATTGACCTTGATTATTGCTATTCAATGACAACAAATGGATACGTACCAGTTACTACATCTAATACTCACCAGCAGCTCCAGTCAGAGCCATGATGGCACACAGAAGGGCAGTCACAGTCAGCGTCTTCATGGTGAAGGCAAAGAGATGATGCAGATGCTGGAGATAAAGACCACCTGTAATACAAAGACAGATATGATTACTCATACTTGTGAAGAGGACAGAGAAACATACCAACAGTCAGACCTTAAAGACAAAGGTGAGGACGTTTGCGGCAAACCTGATACTGACGTGTGTCAATCAGCCGTCCTGTGATGAGGTGAAGAAGGAGAGGAAGCCATAAATACTCTCCGTTATCTCCTCATCTCTCACAGAAGAGGGAAGTGAGGACAGATGTGTGAGGTGTGGCTGTGGTGATGTGACAGTCATGCTGGCGCAACAGAAGGTTTTTCTAGCTATTTTTTGATGCAGACAAGATAAAGAATACTGACTGCGCTTTACACAATAAATGACCACCTTTACACAATAAACCGGTATTATGCAATAGCACATTCACTAGATTCTAGTCCAGGACGATTAAAGGTATTACTGCTTTCTGTACAATAATGGAGAAAAACACATTGAAGTTTTCAATGTTTTTCAAGGAAAAATGCAACTTGGAAAAGTACATTTTTTCAGATACTTACGTACAGCAGAACTTTAAAAAAGTAATTAATTAATGGGTAACAATAGAACCTAATGAATAAAGAAATAATAACCGTGATCAGTGAAACTATGTGCAACACCGCGTTTTCTACTTCCTGTTCCACGTACCAGGGTGAATTTGGCTGCAAGAACCTTGTTCATTTCTTCATCACCCCAAAAATTAAGAGGTACTTCCCTACAATAAACCCAATCATGCTGGACAAGATGTGGGGAAGAAAGAGCAAACCACTGCCATATACAGTATGTTGGGGCTGCCCCAAGATGCAAATATTCTGGGGAATATTTGGAGATCTATGCAGCATATCCCTGGGCAGCAGATCCTATATATATATAATAGACAAAAACAATCAATCCATTAAACCCTCTAAACTAAAGTGAGGAGCTGTGGAGCTGTAAACGGCACGAGCCCAACTAAGGAGACCACAAGGTGGCAAGGCCAGAGCAAAAACAGTGACCTGGGCATCCTGGGGCGGGTGTACAAGGCAAAAAGGACATGACACACTGGCACAGGACAAGGGGAGACGCAGGACACGATCAGGAATCAGGGGAGACAATCCGACTGGTGACACAAGAGGAAGAGCAAGGAACCTGAAACGAGAGGAGAGTTCATTTCCAAAATAAAACAGGAAGTCACAAAACAACCATGGAGACAGGACAGAAACCCAACTTGACCTACAGGATATATGGAGATAGTGTCATACCTGTATGTTTCTTCTAGTGTCAAATCTTCTCCCTGCAGTTGGACAATAATGTCTGACTTACAGCTTAAGAAAGTATTACATGTTATCTATGATGTTTTACTCTGGTAAATGTCAAGCGTCGCAGAAAAAACTAGTTGCAAATATGGTAAAAATACAGCATTTGATTCAAGCATAGATTAAGGAATAATATATGAATAACATACCATCTCCTTTTTAGGGTATAAGGAAATGAGTTTGTTTTATTTCTTTGTTGAATGTTGCTTCATTTGACTTGGGGGGGGTATGACTCGCCAATAAGAGTTGTGTCATGAAGATGTGGTACAGGTTAACAGACAGTCATCAGTCAAGACTCGTGATACATCAGTCAATGCCCATATAAAAGGCATAAAGCCTTAGGATGAAAATCCATTTAAAGATATTTTAACCTTAGAAACTTCATCATCAAGGCGGCACGGTGGCGTGGTGGTCAGCACTGTTGCCTCACAGCAAGAAGGTCCTGGGTTCGATTCTGCCCAGTGGCCTTTCTGTGTGGAGTCTGCATGTTCTCCCCGTGTCGGCGTGGGTTCTCTCCGGGTTCTCCGGCTTCCTCCCACAGTCCAAAGACATGCTCTGGGGATCAGTTTGATTGGGGACTTTAAATTGCCTGTAGATGTGTGACTGTGAGTGTGAATGGTTGTGTGTCTCTGTGTAGCCCTGCGATTGGCTGGCGACCAATCCAGGGTGTACCCTGTCTGTTTGACAATGGATGGATGGAACTTCATCATCCCTTTATCTGTTACAGTTCTTTCATTTGCCACATGTCTGGTTTGAATTTATCTCTTAACTGAAGATAAAGGTCCTTTGGGAGTGAATTTTTTTGTTTTAGTCTTTCATTGGTTAGTCCATTTTTTTAATGCCATGCCATTGTTATTTTGTTAAAGTTTAAAATTACTTTCCCAGATGGGGAAAGTAAATCAGGTATGAATCTTATTAGTTTGTTAGAAATGTAAATAAAACGTTGTTATACCTTAAAAGAGCAGTTTGCATGATTACTTTGTCTGTGTATAATATGTCTATAATGCATACAGTGCTGTAAGTAGTACGATGGTGGTGGAGTCTGATGGTGATGTAGTCTGAAGAAACCTCAGCCTGACTTCTTTTTAAGGCTTCCTCAGAGTCTTGTGGCTCTCGAGGAGCTCTGGGGCAGCGAGATACAGCGGCTGTGGTGATGTGACAGTCATGCTGGCAACATTCAGCGCAACAGAAGGTCTTTCTAGCTCTTTGATGCAGACAAGATAAAGAATACTGACTACCTAAATGAGCCCCTTTACACAATAAACCGTTGTTATGCAACAGCACATTGGCTGAGTTCTTTTTAAAAGAAACGGCTCAACGTCAGTATTTGGAAATCTGCTGGAATAAAAAATGTAGCCGGGCGTTTATTCATTATTTATTTATTAAAAGGTTAATAATGAAAAAATCTAACACGGTGCTCCGTTTCTGTGTCAAAGTGGCAGCCACTTTATTTTCACTCAAACTCCTCCTAAATACCCTTTTCCCATTCCTCTCATTAAAATAACAGTTAGATTTATCAAGTTAATCTCCTGTGACCGTGATTTTATTTTTTGGCCGTTTTTGGTCATTTTCGGTGGCAATCGCTGAAAAAAGACCGTCAACGCCGCTAATGACCGGTTTCGGGCAATGCGAGCTTCAGCAACCAATTTGGACCGCCATTTAGCTGAAGAAGAGAAATCAGGTGGACGTCATGAGCAACGTGAATGAATGATATCATGCAAGGAGATCTGGGATGTTGGTTGATAACGACATGAGACATATTCATGGCTCGTACTGACATGACCCTTCATCTGGGCAG